AGCTTTTCATCACTGAAATTTCCTGCGTTCCTTTAAATATCATTCTCTTTAGCCGCGTGGCTTCTCTGCTTGACTTCGCGACTACCGCTTGCTTGCGCCGGACTAAATCACAGCGTTCGCTTAAATCAATTGAATGTTGTGCAAGCTCTCTATTTAAATGCTCTCTAAACAAGAGTAGCCTTTCGCTTCAGATCTTAAGGCCCAAAGAGGATACAAATCTTACTCTTGGACCGTTACTAATGTCTCCCTAAAGTTCTCAAAGCGAACGAGTGTGAGATAACCTCGATAGGAGAGGATAAAATCCTATCCACAATAGGACATGTTGCGTTTTGTATATCACTTTCTGGATGGTTGAATTAATGAGTTTTTACCGCGTCGCAAAAAGAAGGCAAGTTCTCTCCCTAAGAATGATTTCCCTTTAAGGAAATGGCGTGACTTGTTCGGTAACCATGACGACATTGTTAGTTTCACTTGTCAATGGCATAACATGATCTCTACATATCGCGGTAAGGATATCATGAAATAATTAAGTTTTAAGGCGACTAGACACAGATGGACTGAAACCAAAAGTCCCTTAATTGCCGCCTCCTCGTAAACAATTTATCAACAAAGTTGACAAGATGTAAGCGCCATGCGCTGTAAGGAGCTGCCTATCTTTTTCCCGCTCCTCGGCTTTTTGCCGTGAATAGAGGAAATTCTTTATCTCGCTAGGAGCAGAGTGGGACAAAACTAATCCTCCTTTACCACTTCCTCCTTCCCATTGAGAATAAATTGCGAACTTGTGCGTTGTCTTAAAAGTGCGGGTTGGCGTTTTGACAAGGGTCTAGTCTATAAACAATTACACCCATCAGTTATCAGCCCTGAGGGGAGCTTGTGGTGCAACCACCTTTTCCATACTAGTTTTCCTCCCTCAAAACGATGTGCTTAAAATTGCAAGTTGTATATTTCTCTCGAATGAACTTTTTATTCTAAGGCGGAGAATCACAGTTTTCAAAACCTCCGGATCTCCGTGGAGGGCCTGTAAACCAAAACGACTGATCCCATCAGATTCATAACGAAGATCTTTTGATCTTATAAGAAATTTGTTTAATCTGAAGCAACTTCCTTTGATCTAAAATTAAAAACGTTTGATATGAATCATCTTTATGGGCTTTGTCTCGAAACTGGGGTGGCACGCAATGTTCCTCGGAGAAGCTGAATGCACATCACAGAGGTAAGTTCGGATACAAATGCTGGAAATTGCACATTCATTCAAAAAAATTATTAGTTGTTCGTTGTTTGTTTTGTTTTCTTGTTCTTGAGTTTCATTTTTCTTATAATACTGTCTAAGTTTAGGTTTGGCTGTTTAATTTTCAGACTTAACTTGTTTCTTCAATCAGTTATGGGCGGAAGAAGCCACCACATTAGCACGCAAACGCAACCGACCCAACGACCATTTTACTAAAAGCTACTCTATAACAAAATTTTACCACTTGATTAGACTTTACGAGTCTGTTTGATTGAAAATATCAAGAAGCTCTGGAAGCATATGGAAATTTGTTCCAAGGGCAAAAAAATGACAAAAAAAGAGTTTTAGAGGTGTCTTTGATACAGCACCCTGCGTGATTTAATCATATTATCGACATGACGCAGTAATAATTACTTCTTGATGATCAAAAACGAAAACAACTCTATATTTTGAACGGAGACAGAAAACAGTTAATTGTCAGCGTTTATGCGTAAACCTACTGGCGACTGAACAGCTCAAAGCAAAAACAAAAACAAAAACAAAAAAACGAACTCACCCGGTTTGATGCTAAGTTGTAGGCACGCGAACGTAATGAACAATAAATCTACTCTTAGGATTAGGTAAGGTTACGCTCTCCTGATTCACGGTTCATATGATACCCCAAATATATGAAATTTTTCAAAATTTTTCTCTTGTCATAAATGGTTTCGACTTACCGACTGTATACGCTTGTTAATTGTCACTTAAGGCTTTGTTGACTTTTATCGTCTAATACGACTAATGATGAGGTTTTTCTCTTATTTCTTGGTAGAGTAAATTCAAAAATTATTTTTTCGCAATTGACAGTACATATAAACACAAGCATTGTGGGTGAAGCTCCGAGACAGAGGCGTAACATCTAACACATAAGATTCCGGATCTATAGGTTTTGTTTCTAGCTACGGCTGGCTTATCTTGTTGAGTTCCCATAACTTCGACACTTGACCCCACAGATCCTTTCTCTACCTTGGTTACCGGAAACGGGACAAATGTGATTAAACTGTTAGGGAAGGGGAGGGGGGGCCGGGGGGAGTAGTTACACTGCGAAAACCTAGTAGCCCATCTAGGAGAAGTAATAATGTTCTTGGTTGCGTTATGTTATGGACACTTGGATTAACTCTCACCGTTAACTCCCAGAAGTGATTAACAAATAACTTCTCCCATCAATATCCATGTACTATCCAGCAAACAGGTAATGAGAATACTCAAATGTATCAGGTAAAAGTTGTTATCTTGATCTAACGCCAAATTCTCGTGACTTATTTACAAGGAAATGTGCAGTAGCTAGAGTGGAGAATTAACAATCAGATCTTGGGAGTTAAAAGCCGACTTTATCCTTTCAAAACCGTTGCTAATGACCCCTCCTTCTAAAGGACCTGTTAAACCCGTTTTTTAACAATTAAACATGTTCAAGAGTCTTACTAATCCTTTAAGTTGTATCTTCTTAATAGTATTACTCGAGTGCAACAGATTTGAGCATCCGATATCATAAAAGATTGTTTTTTCTTGTTTTCAAATAGTTTTGTCGTCAGTAGGTGCGCGCAACAGCATTGAAATTTCGCCAACCAAAAATTGGTCAGCCCAAGTTTTCAGCCTTTCGAATACTTTCTTTCGAATACTAGATAGGTCATATATTTTCGATTTTAGTCGATGCAGAATATAAAATCTTGAAAGCAAATGTGCAACATAGACGTGGCTTGATTTCAGACAGTAGATTCTTGAACAAAGTGACATCAAACAATGCAAATTTATAATTGATACCAATATTAGCTGAAAGGATCATGGTGCCGCTTGTTTGTTTTTTAATTTTTCTGTTTGTTTCATAATTTATAGTTTGTTTTTTGTTTTGTCTTTGTATCGTTCCCTGTGTGATAGACTAGTGATTTGTGCTAGCCGATCAAAGGTCGATCAGTCTCTGCCACTCAAAATAAATCACAGAAAAAAGCGTTTTTGTACGAAAGTATCATGTCTAGACACAATTACAACTCATTTAACTGTTGTTTTGACCATTAATGTTTACAATGAAGTATGTTTACATTTACAGTGGCAACAACCCCTTTGTTGTTTGATAATGCAACCATAATAGAAACCGCGTGAGGGCCGTAACAAACAAAGTGTCTACCTTCTAAGAATCGTCAAAATCCAATTTTCTTCAATATTACTGAAAAGGAAATCGTTACCTCTAACTTGGAAATGAAGCTGTAACTTTCAGAACGGCAGAGAGATCTAAAAATCCATCACAACGATATCATGAACTGATCAAAACAACTCCGTAGGGGATTAAAGATCAAGTTTTGCAGCGGAAAGTCACGTTTCGTAAGAGAAATATGTAAAAATGATGAGTTGTCAGCCAAGACCCCCTAACGTCACCCAGCACAAAGATCACTAATATAGCATTTTTCGCATTACATCCATCGCGCCTGACATGTGATTCTTTTATATGACTCGTTAACTTCATGGTTCGAGTACGCGGCTCAGTAAGTTGAATATGCCGGACAGTATAGAGGATAGCTGCGTGTCAATACAAATTTCGTCTTAAAGCGTTCAAAATATCTTCGTAAGGCCTTAATCTGCGGTTTAGTAATCTTTAGGAAGTTGCGTGCACGTACATGGAAAACAGGTAAGAACTTGAAAGATACTGACTTGAATCAACTTGCACTGCGTTCAAGATTCTTCATCGCCTCTACTGTCGTCTAACAATTTACCAGTGTAACTAAATAATTTAATCATGGCTCTGTCTAATAGTGATAAGACCGATTAGCTAAACTGGTCCAACAGGGTTTGTAATCGTATGAGTGATTAACAAAATGACGATCGCGACGATTTGTCAATCACGAGTATGATCAGACAGCCTGATTGGATAACACAACGTTATTGTCACCATAATCAAACCTGAGACAAAATTATTTGAAATTAAATACTGGTCGGTGAATAAAGGGGAAAGTGTCTAAAGAAACTGAGGTGTTAATTCGGTGGGGCAATACAACAAGATAATTTGGTTTCATCAATTGAGTTGATATTGAATATGAAAGTGATCTTCGTAGCAATAAAAACTACTTGACTAGCCTGTTGAAAATAAGGTCGAAAAAAAAATTCAGGCTTGTATGAGATTTGAACCCATGACTTCTGCGATACCGGTGCAGTACTCTAGCAACTGAGCTAACAAGCCAACTGGGAGCTGATCATTATGTTGCTTCGTAGTAAACCCGTGAAGTGATGAATAAATGACGGTGGATATATTTAGTCTTTTTATGACTGACACGATTTGTTGTGGTCTCGATTCATCGCACCCTCGCTACGCTGAACAGCTTAAAAATTCTCGTGGCCAACAACGCGAAAACGAAAAATTAGGCTAAGCTCTTCGACCAGTTTGCGATAATAACGTTTCCTTCTCCAGATCTGAAGTACTAGAAAAAATTTTTTCTGATTGGAATTAATATCTTCCGTTCCTCTTACAAGAATTTGCAAAAGGCGATAGCTATGTAGTGAATTAATAATCCACGAAATATGTGTTCGTTTTATGGCGTCCTTGTCCGGTGAAACTAGCTGACATCATCTCCAGGATCACGCCTAGTTCAGAATCTGGAGAGAGGACAGGCCGACCCGGTTGGCAAAAC